TACAACCAAGTTTTAACCCAGTCCCAAATCAAGTCCAAGACCTATGATGTGCACTAAAGTCCTGCAGAACTGACGTCTGTGAGGACCTCAGCCTCCTGAAGCAGCAGTGTGAAGGTATGACGGACTTCAGCAGGTTTCTTAATGACGTGAGGCTTTAGAGACGCTAATAAAAACAACAGTGAGGTTACCAGAAGGTTTCTCCTGGAAACATCAGCACAACATCAAATAACGTCGTTGTTTGCAGCTGCGTTTTTTTTAAGCTGCCGGTAAAGATGCTCCTTAATCAATAAGTCCAATGTTGACAGACAGCCGAGCAGCAACAAGCACAACTTGAAGCCAACGCAGGAGCAGCTAATATGGACGTCCTGTCTCCAACCAGGAAACATGGAGGTGACTATGAAGCCTTTCTTCTGGCCAACACCTGGTACCTCCATTATTACAACCCTAAGGTTCCTGAATCTTATAGAACCACAATGTCCCTGAGTAGAGATGGTAAAACCTTTGGACCCTGGTTCCTCCAGCTCTTACTCAAGTTTCTCTAAGCTGCTGTCAGCTGCTTGTAAAACGTCCTGCAGTGGAAACTCTGCTGTTTGTAACCTGCAAGAAGAACCAGCAGGTAAAGCAGATTCCAGCAGCAGGAACCCGGTTTATAGAACACCTCCTTATTGGGCCTTTCTGTAGTTCTGGTTCTGTTGCTGTGCAGAATCCACCAGCTTTGACCACAACGTCAACTCAGGCGGCATCAGAACAACAACAGGTGATTTTGCGCTGAAGGAGCTGAACTCTTGGTGGTTTTCGACTGCAGGAATCATCAGAAACCGTCTCTGTAGAACCTCAGAGTATATTTCCTCCTGAAACAAAGACCTGACAGACTTCCAAGAGACGGTTCTTGTGGTCAGAACAAACATAAAGGTTCAGGCTGCCTCGAAACAAACCCTAAGCTGGTCTGAACCCCACAGGGTCCAGATCCGAGTGTCATGGAGTCAGTCTGCACCACATGAGGACGCCAAAGATTCTGAGACACACCGAAACTGTGGGAAGTTCTCAGAGATGATCCAAACCAGTGAAAAGCCAAAAACCAAGGTCAAAAACCAGGACCAAAACCAGTTCAGAACTAATTCCAAGGTCAATTCTATAATAATTCTACAGCCGATTCAAGGCCAGAACCAGTTCAATGTCCAAAACTAGGAAAAACAGTTCAAACCAGTCTAACACTAAGTCTCAAACCAGAGTCAAACCAAGCTCAAGACAAGACTAAGTTCAAAACCTGTCTTGATTAGTCCAAAGCCAGTCCACAACCAAGGCAAAGACCGTCCAGCTCAGTGTCCAAAACTATGACAAAAACCAGTTTAAAACCAACATCACAACCAGACCAGGACCAGAGCTGTCCAGTCAGTTTACCACCAGCCTAGAATTAGTTCAAAACCAGTCTGAGACCAAGACCTAAACCAGTCCAAAGTCAGTCTAAAACTAGTCCAAACCAAGATCCATTACGTAAAGCAAAAGTATTCCAAGATCAGGACCAAGATTACTTCTAAACCCAGTACAAAACCCAGTCCAGAACCCAGTCCAGAACTAGTCCACAACCAGTCTATAGTTAGACTAAAACCAGGACCAAAATCAGTCTAAAACTAAGTCCAAATTGAATCCAAAACCAAGCCTAAAATCAGTCTAAAATCGGTCCAGAACCAGTCTAAACCCAAGTCTAAACAAAAATCCAGAACTAGTCCAAAAACCAAGTTTAAAACCAGAACCAGGTCTAAACCCAGAGTTCTGCCGTCAGATCATGGAGTCAGTCTGGACACATGAAGAGACAAAGTGACAGAACCACAGAGAGGTGAAATGATCAGTCTGACGGGCTGGACCGGTGAGGCTGCTCCACCGGGTCAGGTGTGTTCACCTGTGCAGCAGCAGCAGGTGAGTCCTCAGGTTCTGAACTCACAGGCAGCCTCTTTTACAAGGTGAACATTTGGTACTTTCTGATAGCGCTGCGTCGCTCAGGTCCTCCTCCCTTTTCACTGATCAGCTGATGGAGCTGCAGTCGCCCTCTGCTGGACCAACCCGTCACTACACAGCTCATTCTGGCACCACACCTGCCCGCTGAAGCACCGCGCAGCAGCTCTGCAGAGTAACTAAGTACTTCTACTCAAGTACTGCACACAGCACAGTGTCAGTGCTCATCTCTGGGGGAAATGTTCGACTTTTCGCTGCATTTATTTAAGCGAGGCGGTTAATTTGCAGATTCATGCAAACCCTCCTGAGCTCCTGGAGCGCAGCGCTGCACTGGAACATAATCCACCCAGTTCTATGTAAATCAGAATTATCTCCACCTCAACAAGCTGCTTCAGCGACAAGATCAGATCAGATAAGAGGTGGACGGAGTACACACACACACACACACACACACACACACACACACGGTACTAATACACTCTTAGAAGTAGAGAAAATGGAGGAAAATAAGAGAAAGTAAATTACAAGAGCAGCAATAAGCTGACAGCATCCAGAATCCTACAGCGCTGCAGACACACAGGAAACACCAGCAGCAGTCTGGAGTGATATAGAATATAGAAGATATAACACAGAGGAGTGGTGGTACCATGTATAAGAGGAAATGTAGTGATGTAGGGACAGGACACAGTGCAGCAGTGTAGTAGTAGAGAGTACAACGTGGAATAAATGCAGTTTAAAGGCAGTAGAAGAAGAAAACATGAGGTCACAGGTACTAATACAGCAGCAGGATCATGTACTCATATAATCATGTATAATATGAGACATGATGCAGAGTGAAGGTAGTGCAATATAAGAAGTACATGATGGAAGGTAGTAGTGTGGCACAGCAGCACTACGGTGTACTCTGGAGTACTACGGTGTGTACTGGTAGTACACTGGAATGAAGATAACACCGTCAGCAGTACTTCTACCTCTCATACTTCAATGAGGTGCATTTTGTGGATCAACTCCTCAGTCCAGGTGTCTCAGCCCAGAGCTTCACCTGCAGCTGGACTCGAACCCGCGACTCACCTGAGGGGGGGGTAACCTGCGTGTGTGTGTGTGTGTGTGTGTGTGTGTGCGTGCGCGCGCGCGCGTGAACTCACCCAACACGAACAGCACACAGATGATGTTAATCAGCATCGCGTCGCGCGCAGCTGCAATAATCCCACAGGTCATGACGGTTAACGGGGTCGGTGTCACGCGCTGCCCGGTCCGGTCCTCTCGGTGTGTCGGTGTCTCTCACGCGCTCTGCCCCGTTCGGTCCACCTGCATGCCGAAGCCCCGGAGACGGTTCGGTTCACCGGGGAGCCCCTCCGGACTCACAGCAGCGCGGGGCGGGCGGCGCTGCCCGGTTCGGACCGCATGTTCCGGGGAGGCTGCGCGGCGGCGGGTCCGCGGGAGTCGCTCCAGTGGCGGCGGACGGAGCCCCAGTCCCGGCGGCTCGTCACATCCACTCCGGTACTCCAACTTTCCCGGTGCTCGCTCACTTCGGCTCCGCTGCTCGCATTCAGCGGCGACACCGGAGCTCCGCGCGCCTCTCGGTCCGGTTCGCTCCGACCGGAGCTGCGTAAAGGAACACGCGCGTCTCCCGGTAAATCCACTCCGGCTGCCTCGTGCGTCCGCTCGCGTCTCCTTCCGCTGGAAAACCGGCGCGTGCGACCAGAGAAACCTCGAAACCCCCTCCTCCCCCTCCTCCCCCCGACACGCGCACACACTCGGGGCGCGTGCCAGTCCCGGTGGAGCTCCGGTTTCTCCGGTTCTCTCTCCAGGTGTCTAACGAGCGACACGCACGCGCAGCGACTCTTCACGATGACCCGGGGTGATGGCGCGCGCTCCACCATAGAAACAGTTTATTAAAATAGATTTAATTCTTATTAATGACGTATTAAACTATGAATATTAAATAATAAAGTGGATTTTATTGTGATTACATTTAAACATGTTTTCTTCACATGTATAAATGCTGTTATATACATTAAACATGATCATTATGATGGACTTCATGATATATTTATTATGTTTCACTATTTGAACAAATATTAACAAAACGTTTTATTTTATATTCTAAAGTGTTTCTTTTCTATGTTTATCTTTATTATTTAAAATTGCAAAATGTTTTTTGTAGTTTATACATTTTTATTTTTTCAGCCTACTGTTGTTATTAAAACACAATTCTATTATAGTTTTACTGTTCTTCCCTTTGTCTTTATTGGACTTTATCATTTTAAAAAAATGTTTTGAATTCATTTTTTTCTTTAATAATTGTAATATTTTCAAAATATTCTTTCATTATCTTTAAACTTATTTTAATTGTTAGAAATTACTTTAT